ACCTTTGAAATTTATTTTGTAAGCAAAGGAATTCTAGGGAGATAACTTGCCTTTCAGCTGCAAAAAAGGTTTCTGTAGGAAGCTTTATAGAAATGAGGAGGTACAATATCTGTGCATCGTGTTTTAGTTCTGTATTTCTTGCTATTAACGTGTTTGCAAGATGCTGCCCACCAATCCCTTTGATACGCTAATGGCCATTCACTTATGCTCCATAGGTGGTGTGCTGTGCAAGGGAATTTTCCCTTCAAGTCAAAGAGAGTAATTGTGTGCCTGCTGGTGGCAAGATTTGTCTTACTCGTCTGGGCAACCTAGATGTAGCTGCTGCAGTAAATCTTGCGGTCTTGAAGTTCCTGTGCCAGCTGACAACCCACAAGCACTACAGGCAGTGCTGTGGTGGGGATATTTCTTCAACTGCCCACTGGCTGCCTGCTGTGTTCATTTGTTGCTGATGACCAAGTACTGTGGAGGGTCCCCTTTAGGTGTACAGAGAGAAAGGGATCCATCCTTTAAGTTAAAACATTTACATTGAATCAAAGTAATGGAGAATCAGATTTCAATCTTCATTGCTTGTAATGGAAAAATCCATTCACACTGATAGTTTTCCTCAGACAAGTGTCCCTTTTTGTGTCCCCTTTTTATACATCTGCTGAGCAGATTGAAATGGATACCAGGGGTTTGAAAATTGAAAACCTTCAATTTTCACATAAACTCCAGGTCAGATCTGTGTAGTACCTCACTGCCCTTTACAGTAAATCACATGTAAAGCTAAGTTATGCCTCATTTTAAATGACAGAAGAGTCCTTGGACTACATGGTAGCCCTTTCCAGTAACAGCTGAATAGAAGAAGAAAAACTAATAAATAATTAAGGCAGTAATGTGTTTGCCCAAATAATTAAGGCAGTAATGTGTTTGACCACCGTTTTTTTAGCATGACTTTTTTCTGTTATTATTGTAACAGAAATGTTCCTTTCAAAGACAACTAAAGCTCTAATGATAGCTAAGAAGGTCATTCCTAGGAGGTTAAACTGGTTTAATTAGAATTTATGAGAAGGTTACTCTAAGAGTGCAGAAAGATGTTAAGGGGTTAACCTATAAGAGATTACATTGTAGTCAGTGTTCTGTTAAAGTTTGAATTAATTTTTCCCATGGGTTTTTCACATTCTAATTTTCAACTAAATGAGACATCTGTTTCAGAAAAGGAAAATTTGCTATGGTTGTCATAGCAACTATCATTCTGTAAGAAAATTATTCCAATGGTTACTTTAGAACAGAAAGATAGAAATTCAGTACATAAAGCAACATCCGATTGCTAGCACAAACTCTGATAATTCAGCCCTTTTTGTATGGTGGATTATTTGACCTGCAGAACTTGTTCATATGTTTTTAACACAAGGTTAATTGTGCTGTAAACTAATTCACTTTTACCCCTAGCCTCTTACATGTAGACAATCATTATTCTTACCATAATAATAATAACTGTTGGAATTTCAGTAGTATATGGAGACACTCAAACTGTTCAGTGTAAGAAGATAAGACCTAAATCAAAGTACATTTCTATATATGAGCATTTCACTTCAGAGATGAAATGCATTCATACTGTATGTCTTTAATTGCCAAATACATTTTTCTTGGGGTTTTTAGGGAACAGTGAATTTTTCTCTTATTGAACATACATGACAACAGTATTGTCTTTGTAAAATGTAAAATATTACAGTATGTAATACGTAAATGTAAAACGTTCAGTATGTCTGAAAAATAATTTACAAAAAAAAATAACACTTTTCCTGAGCAAGCATTAAGTGGGGATCCAGAAATTGCGTGCTTCATATGAAGAATTTAACTTGCTTTCAGGTTCTTTTGTAAATGCAAATTTTAGACAAAGTTTTCTTTGTGCGATACCCAGGTCACACACTTGTTAATTGGGTATTTGAGAAGACTTTTTTTTCCGTACTCAGAAACTTTGATAGTCGTTTTGCAGTAAGTTTGCAGAGAAGGGGGCTTTGGGGATTTATAAAATCCCTGTGTGCATACAAAGATAGTTTTGCTTTGGGGTGGGAGCACTGATACATATGATTTGTCTTTCTTCTCTCAGAGGTAAAGCATACCAACATCCTCCCCTGAATCTTTTCTTGGACTTCAGATTTTTTTTTTTTTTTTTTTTTTTTGCCAGAAATATTCCAGACATTTTTTTCAATCTTGGGATTGTCACAAACGACAGCATAATGGCAAATCACACAAGTTGTAACATCTCCCCTTCACAAAAGAACAGCTCCAGCATGCATAACTTACCAGCCCTGCTCTCAGGCGGCTACGCTGCAGTCACCACAAAGGGAAGGAGGGAGGGACGAGGGAAAGTGCTTCTTGTCTTAATAAGCAGATCATGCCTATTCATAAGGGGAAACGGGCTTTTTAAAAAGTGGCTGTGTACATGCTAGCCCTAGTAGAGGCAGGCAGAGATTCTTGCAGCTGCATATGCCATTTTCAGTCATTTAGATTTCAGCAGGACTAAACTGACTTTTGGCAAGACTTGGGGCAGTCATGATTATTTCTCTTTATAAATACTTCTTTGCATCCTTAAAATAATTATTCCATAGGCTTTTGACCTTTTCTTCTTGGACAAGTACCAGTCTTTCCCCTTGGTTTCTTTCTTGGGCCATGGAGTGGCCATGGCCCATTCTGCTGTGTCTGGCACACTTGTGGGGTACAGGACAGTGCCTCACCTCCCTTCCCATTGAGGACCTGGGGATGGTCCCATCTGTGCCCAGCAGCACTGGTGCCAGCAGCAGGTGGGAGCAGGGGCCTGTATTCACTGAATCTGTCAGGGGCTTTAAAAGCATGATTTACTATCCTGACACTTTGTTTGCATCCTATTTGCCCTTGCAAATATTTTCTTTGGCTGAGATTTTGCTCATGGAAAACTTGCTCTGGGCCTGTAGACAATTTGCCAAACAGTTGAAAGTTTTCATCTTCATGGTGCTTAGCATGTAAGTTGTGTAATGCAATCCCAAGGCAGGAACGGATGGAGAGTTTAGAAGCAGTCTAACCTCTGTATATTTTTATAAAGCCTCCCACTTCTGTAATATTTGGGTGCCTCACAGACTTCAGTTTTATTTATTTTCATGGCATTCCTGTCAGGTAAAAGTACTCCCATTCGTCAATGGGGAGCTGAACGTAAAGACAGGCTGATCAAAGTCCACAGACTGGAGTTTGGTTCTGTGTAACAGCGTTGTAACATCATGGTAACATCATTGGTTACCTACTGCAGGTTAAGCCGGTAACTACAATCAAGAATCATTTAGGTTGAAAAATACCTTTAAGATCATCAAGTCCAACTGTTAACCCAGCGCTGCCAAGTCCCTCACTTAAACCATGTCCCTGAGTGCCATATCTACACATCTGTTAAATATCGCCAGGGATGGTGACTCTACCACTTCCCTGGGCAGCCTGTTCCAATGCCTGATCACCTTTTCAGTCAAGACATTTTTCCTAATATCCGATTTAAGCCTCTCCTGGTACAGCTTGAGGCCTTTACCTCTTGTCCTATCACTTGTTACTTGGGAGAAGAGACCAACAGCCACCTAACTATAACCTCCTTTCAGGTACTTGTAGAGAGTGATAAGTTCCCTTCTGAGCCTCCTAGCTGGACTGTGAGTTACCACCCAGAAGGTGAGAAGTCATGTACCTGTGAGCCAGGTGCTGTTATTCCTATGAGGAAAGGCTGCTAGGAGTTGAACAGGTAACCAGAAAACTGTGATTTCATATCCTTGATATAGGGATATGTATTTCTTAGCCAGATGCCTTGGTCTGAGCAACCTGACTCAGAGCAAGGTTTCTGCTTCATTGCTACTGCTATTAGCATCTTTTCTTCACACACCTTCACCTCCCTTATCACAGCTTTGGGAGCCTGGGATATATTTCTGGTCCCAGTGGCAGATGTAGAAAGTTTCACCTTTTATTCTTTTTCCCTGGGACACCTGTTTATCCAGACCCTGGTTATCCATGGTATGTGATGAAGAGCTACAAGATGAGCTCTTAGCTTTGGACACAGAAAGCCTTTCAGTTAACTGCCTAGAATTGTTTAGGCTGTTTGTCTGTGGAAAAAAAGGCAGACTATTTGTTCTCCAAATATGTATTTGGCCAGAAGATGTCAGTCAAAAAATTATTAAAAAATTCCAACCTAAAGCTAATCCTTCAATTTTATGACCTAGAATCAGAGCATAGTCAGCAAGACATAATTTACCACTGTGATATAATTGCTGAAATACAGTTTTTTAATCAGTGGGATAGCAAGACATGGATAAATTGTGTTCTGACTGGCAGTGTTACAGTCCCACTGTTCCATGATGAGCTGGTCCATAAATATGTTTTAAAAATGTAAATGCCCATCTGATAAGAAATCCTGAATATGGAAAGTCTTTCTTAAAAGCAAGTCAACACAAGGACAGAAGAAAATTATGTGTAAGGAAAGAAGCAGTATTCTTGTTCTGATGGGATGCCTACGATTAGGGGAACAGAGCAGCATAGATGATGTCTCTGACTTTGGAGTGGGATCTGTCATTGTGCCAGGGCCTGTCCTTGCCCAGCTGGTCATAGACTAAGGGCCAAACAAGACAGGAGCCAATGTGAAACATAGATCCACACCTTGGTATCTGAGATGGGTGTTCTTTTAGATGTTGTGGGAGTGCAGCATGCTAATCCACACATGGACATCTTGTTATCCAGCTCTTGTAAGAGTTACTTTTCAACTAGTTAGAGGAATACTGTGAATGTTTTACTGTATGCTGCTTACTGAAAGTGGTAAGGACTGCACTGATTTTCCACACAAGCTAAATAACACTGGTTGTATGGAAAGAGAGTTTTACTGTGCACACAAAGAAGAAGACAATGAATGCTATTTGTGTCTCCAAATTCCATGCTAGTAGAGAGTCAATCTCCGTATTTTAATTAGATAACCAGTATATGGAAGTAGCACTGAAGACATTTTCCTCCTCTCTTGGCAGGCAACCTTGGTTTTATGGCTGGGGCTTTAATCTTCCACGAGGCCAAGCACTATTAGAGAAATGGAACCTTATTCCAGATGGAATAGATATTCTTATAACACATGGACCACCTCTCGGTAAGAAAATACTAGTGCTCTTAGCTGTGTATTTCAGATTATCTGAAATTATGTTATTATGAGTAACTGATGCCTCTCCTTAGACGAAGAGTGCAATCCTGACTTAACAAGAGTCAAAAGTAACATCCATACTGATTTCAGCAGCACCAGGACTCCAGTGCAGGTTTATGTTTAATGATTACCTTTGCTCAGTGGTAGGGAATTAAATAATGGCTTAAAAATAAAGCCTTAAAATATAAAGCCTTAATGAGCCTTATAAACAAGAGAGGTCTGATTTTCCTATGCATCTGTCTGCTCTGTCACTGCTGAAATTAGTAGGTTTAAAGCATGGAACTGCTTGAAGAGAAATGCAGGATCGGGTTCTTCTGTTTTTAGCACTGCCTTTGTCCCTCACTTTCAGTAGCATTCCCCCACCAAGAAGTACCCAGAGTCTTGTGTTTTTCCTCATCATGCTGACTTGGTGCATCTCCTGCCTCACAAACCCAAATGCTGCCATTGTTTACCTGTTCTTCGAACAGTGTGGGTGAATTGCCTATCTGTAATAGTCTGGCAAGACCAACACACCAACAAGAAATAGTTCTGCAATTGTGTTTTACAAATATTAATATAGGTGATATAAAAGTCAGGAGAGATTTCTTGTGTTCCTAGAAAAAAGTGAATGTGTGGTACAGAAATAATGCAATCTCAGAAATTTGTCCAGATTTAGTAAAGCTTTTAACATGGTTTTCAATGTATCTAAGATACAGCAGTGTACATTTAATGCATCTGTGAATTTAGCTCTCACTAATTTAATCAGTGGACACAAAGGTGAAGCATGTACTTAAGTGGTCTGCTGAGTCTTACTGTGGAGGAGTTCTTTGTGTGAAATGAAGGCAGCTGGTTTCTTTAAACGTTTAGATTCCCCAATTTCCGGAAGCTAAAACCCTCTTGTCTTCCACCCTTTCTTCTCCTCTTTCAGAGCTTGGAGGAGAAAGTATCTAAAGGGTTTGTGTTTTGTTGTTTTCTTTAGAAAGACATGTTTGCATTCCACTGCTCACTAATCCTGGGGGAACGGGCTTCTTTGTGAGCGCGGTTTCTCATAGCGAAGGCATGTGTTTTGATACTTCACCTAAGTGGAGTCTCATGTCACACCATTGACTGATTTTAATATGGACCTCTATTGTAAAAGTGTATGGCAGAAATTAATTATTTAGACCTTGAGATATCAGCTCCAAACGGTTATTACTGGGGATAATCCCTGTTAGGATCCAAGGCATGACACTTGGTCTCTGATATACTTTTATTTATAAGTCATATTTAAAACTTTTTCAGAAGCTTTTTCAGCATTTTTAAGCAATTTTTAAAACCAGCTGATCAGCTGTAAAGTAATTCAACCTTCAGCTGATCCAAGCAATATCCCTGTATCTAGCACATGAAATGCAGTGTTGGAAAGTGGAGAGAGGGGTTCACACCACCCAGCTTTAGCTGCCTTGCTGATTTAGCCACCAGCCCTCTCCAAGCAGCCTCTGGGATCAGCAGAGGCAGGAGAACCTCTAGAGAGCACTGTAGAGCTGGCGCTCAGCAGACATGCTTTGATAATAAATTTAATAATGAATTTAGTAATTGTAGTAATTCTGATGAAGAGCCGCCCATCTCCACTGACTGTAATGGGGAAACATTAATTCCCCCATCTCCATGTCTCAGTATTTATTCTCTTTTTAATTCTTGAACTTCAACTGTCCTCCAAGGGTTTTGTTTTTTAAAAGTTCCCATTTCTTTGTCTTTCTTTTTGATGCATTAATAGATGGCTCAGGCACAGAACCCTCTGCTTGAGGGCATCAGCTGTTGGTCTCCCTGACACCCACTGCAACAAATATATGATGCTTCAAAAGAAATTAGCACTCTGCCTAACTTACAGAACCTCCTTACGGTGTAGCTCAGTCCACAGTCATTTTGGGAGACAGGGTCCTCCTTGACCCTCCCAGCCAGTTATTTTAACCCGAAAACTGATTACTGTTGTTCTGATCTTGGAGAGCATCACCAGAGCTGTTCCTAATGATCATAAATAGCAATCAGTGCTCTTCCAAATTCCTCTTCTCTTTTTTTTTTTCCAGCATGGCTGCCTAAATTCTGTCCATCATCTATTTTTTGTGCTGCTTTCTCATTCACTCACTTCAAAAGAGCGTGCATCCTCCTAAACTAATTAATACCACATTGTTAGATAGATTTTAAATTGCCTGCATGATTTAGATGCAGAAGCACCATTAAGAGTTAATGGACATAGTGTTTCTAAGTCAGTTAGGCATGTAACAAAATTCTGAGTAATTTTTCTTTTCTGAGCAGTGCTTTGGGATGAAACCGGGGGAGGGATACACAGGAGGTTCACACAGGATGAGAAAACAAAGGTTAAAACAGCTATTATTGACCATTTTATATGACCTGTGTGTTGTTAACTATGATAAGGCATATATTTCATAGCTTATGAAATACTGTATTCATGATTATGGGATCAGTGCTAATGCTCATTTCTATATCAGCATATTTTTGTTACATTTATGTATGGTATAACTTTTCAAGTCTTTTCCCTGATTCCTAAAGAACTGCTTTTATGATTCTTTTATTCATCTTTACAAAGTTTACTTTTGTTTGTTTTTAATTTAATTTCACCTTTAAGTCTTCATTTGTAGCTGTCTGCTTGATTGTCGGTGACAAAGATTTATACTTCCCTGACAGCTGCAGAAACCTGTTTCAAGTAACCAAACATTAAAAAAACCCTAAGATGAACTCTAATTGTTAGCTAGGTGTAATCAATTATTCTTAGTTTGTGTAGTCAGGTGTACATAATAAGCTGCAAACATATGGGAAAGCTTCAGAAGGGTGATAATGCATGTAAACAAAAACATGTTCAACATAAATAATGCTTAATTTAATGGAGAAGTTAATTTTATGAATTTTTGTTTGTGAAGTTTTTGAAGTGGAAATACTCTTGGCTTTATGTTCACCACAGACATTTTGACAATTAACTATTTCAAATCACTGCAGTAACAAAACCTATGGTTATAACACTCTTGCTCTGAAAAAAAGCATGACTGGATTCCAGGGGAGTTTCTGGCCTCACTTTGGCATCCTAAATACTTATTATTTCCTACAGTGAATTTTGACCTGCATTGGATACCAAAGGTGACTGACAAAATCAGTTAACCAGAACCGAGCATTGCTCTGCTCTGTCTGTAATTTAGCAGGGCTTTTTCTTTGTACATCTTTGTGTCTGAATTAATTAGTAGTCTATGGCCGTCATGAGAACTTCCTTCCTTTTTGACATTTAGGATGCCTCATTCCCAACTCATTTCTGAAAATTGGACTTTGCTCTCTGAGTAACTATGATAAAAGGGCAATTTTTTTCAATTTTCATAAAACCCCACACTAGACTGAGCCCAGTTTTCAAGCGCTGGCATCTAGAGATGGTCATCTCAATGTGTGAACCAACCCTGAAGCTCTAGCAAATCTGTGAGTTTTTCCAAGAGCTTGAATGCCACAGTCCTGGTCTTTTAAGCCAGCTGGTTAGCTGCTATTTAGCCATGCTTGAGTGGACGTCAAAAGTAAACATATGAAAACTAGGTCCATGCTCTATACCTCTCTGGCTGACTACTGTTTTCTCAGAGGCACAATGTATTCCTTCTGTTGCAGCAATTTAAGAGATACAAAGCTATGACAGGCACACAGGGAAAGAACAACTAAAGAGAAACAGTGATTATATCTTTTAGGTTTCCAAATTTGAGCCTGATGAAAATGTCAGAACAATAGAAAGATAACAAGAATGGTTACTGCAAACCCTCTAATAAAACAACATCCTTCTTATACTACTGCTTTGAAGGAAACATGAGACTTCAGTTGGCAGTAAGCATCCCCGTGCAGTATGTTTCTAGACATAAAAGCAAGTTGGTGTACATTTTTGTCTGTATACATAAAAAAAATGAATTTTTATACAAATTTGGTGCAACTAACTATAGCTCTTAAAAACATCTACTGCAGATGGGCTGAGTTTCTTTTCCTATCTGAGGTTCGTAGATTTAGGCCTTGGTGTGTCATGAGGTGCTTAAACCCATCTACTTGATAAGGTTGGGTTTAGGTATGCTCTGGGTTCCCCATGTGAATTCCACTACTGTAAGACTGAATGTAATAACAGTACAGTTTTATTACTAACAACACAGATTCCATTACATCAGTTAAATTGTTCAATTTCAGAAACTACATCTCAGGGCTAGATTTAAATAGCCAAATGTTGATTTGAATTCTTAAGAGACTGACTTTGGACATACTGCTCTTTGAGCCTCACTCTGTTAAAGGAAGAAAACTTCATAAAGCATTGAGTTTTCACATTAAAAATGCTTTAATTGCAGTGATTTATTTTCCCTGGAAGACACCTGGCAAAGAGTTATCATAGTCCTTTTTCTTCAGATGAGCTTTTATGATTTTCCTCAAGTATTTTTCCTTCCTTCTTGCACTTACCAAGGCAAACACTGTTATTTCCATGTCCATTCTTCAGTGGCTGCGTATGAAAAGCCACAAACCATTAAATCTCAGAAATGTTGTATAGCAGTACAGCTTTGCAGATACCTTGTCTTCTTTTAAAGCTTTATGTTTTTTTTCCAAGGTTTTCTAGACTGGGTTCCTAAGAAAATGCAACGGGTGGGATGTGTTGAGCTGCTGAACACAGTCCAGAGACGAATACAGCCAAGGCTTCATGTTTTTGGACATATCCATGAAGGTCAGAACACCTTTCTCTTTCTCAATCTCTCTCTCTCTCTCTCTCTCTCTCCCAATATCTCTCTCTCTCTCTCTCTATATATATATATATGTGGAAATCACAAACACAGAAGTTGTCTGGTTTAACAGCGTTTTCAAACTTGAATGTCTGAACTGAAGCACTTCTGGAATTCAGATACTTATTTAGCTGCATATATAGAGAGGAAATTGGCTGATAACTCTAATTTCAGTATTTGTACTATGGCTTCTTTTCTACATCTGTAAATGCAGGGTGATGCCTCCTGCACAGAGAGGATTACTGTGAATTTTAAAATAAGAACATGAATCCAGTGGTTAGAGAAAGTGACTAAATATTAGGATTGATGGACTGTATTTTCCTCTGCTGAGTCTCTGTGACCTAAGACAGATAATTCATGTAAGATCTCTGTGTCTCAGTTTTCTGTGTGAATGTGTAAGAATACTTTGAGGGGTGCTTCTAAGGCTAAATCCTCAAGATTGCACAGTAAAGGTTGTCTCTCCTCATCAGCATGTGTATGAAATCAAAATCAAGAGGGATGTCACCACTGACTTGGGCAGAAGTTTAAGATATTTATTCGTGTATTTATTTGCTTTGGCAAGGAAAACATTTTGTACCCAGACAAAACAAAATGGTTCCCTTGACTATTTCATTTTTAACTGGAAACAAATTAGTCCCCTTCACATAAGTCAGTAACTGGTGACAAATATGCTCCAATGAAGTCAGTGACCAGGGGAGTTTGTTTCTAGACAAAGGGGAAGTAGATGCTGTCTGCTGTAGAGATGTCTGTCTTGTTCACATACTATGGCAGCAAGACTTCAAGCAGTGCCCCCATCCAAAGAAATCACTGGGCTGTGCAGAAGTGTACCCATTGGCATGTAAGCATGTTATTATCAGCTGCTTAGTCCTTGGCAACATTAATTTACTGGCAGAAAAAGGTGCTCCATAACTGCCAGTTTTCTGCTTCTGGGACTGCTCCAGCCTTTGATGTAGGATTTCTGTAGGTCTCACCAGTGTAGAAATGAACAAATGGGAACACTGGAATAGCTGGAATGCAGATATTTCTGGTTTTGTGAAGAATCATTGCCCTTCCCAAGAAATCCCACTCCAACTTGCTGCTAGGGGCTTTCACAATGCTAAGTTAGAAGTGACATTGCAGAGAGGTGTGCTGGTGTGAAATTGATGGAGAAGACATTCAAATCATTATTTTACAGCTCAGGGATTAAGTCAGTTCTCCTCATGTGTCTTGTCTGTGGTGACCTGTTAATGCCTAGCTAGTGTCCAATGTGCCGTTAAATCACAGAGTGAACACACAATTTGTAGACAGTATTTTCCCTAACCCTCCACTGTTAGAGCAGTCTTTGAGATTCTGTACAAGAGAGTTGGTGAATACAGTTAAAACTCATTGTCTTTTCAGAAATAGTAAGCCAAGTGAGTTGCAGGGGATATAAGCAAACAGTTAGCAAGCCATGAAGCTTCAGGCAGATAAACAAAATCACATCTGCTAAGACCAAACCCAACTTTGGCTCCCAAGGGAAGAGAATGGCACCTCCACAGAATAGTAAATCCTGTGAATTAATACGGTTGGCACAGTAGATACCAGAACACAGAAACAAGGTACTCGTCTTGTTAACTATCATAATTTAGAGAAAACAAATGGGGAACTGCATAGCCTGTTTTGCAGTGGGATGCTAAATCTCTGCAGAGGATAATTCCCATTGCAGACAGCCTGTGCAAACGAAGCTGTTCTTTGTAGGGGGAATGCATGATTTGAACAGATGAGTTCTTCCCCTGACTGAGCATAGCTACATCTGCAGCAGTCATTTACTGAATATCCAGGAGGAAAAGATGCTTAGAAGAGATGTTTCTTCTTTATTTCCCCTCTGCACTGCTGTCTCTGCCAAAAAATACCTCTACACATGGGCTTGCTGCTGGTTGACCCACAGAAGTGACTAGCAGTATGGCAGGGACTCCAGCTAAAATCGTGCTTTGCCTATTGCAGCCAGTACTTGGCCAGGGTAATGGACAAGGAAACTGCTGGCAGTAGGGTGTGAGTGAGAAGTGTAGCATTAGTAATCTTTCAGCAAAAAGAACATATTAGCAAGCTGATTCTGTTCTCTCTAAAGACGTAGCCGAGGAGACAGAAAGTCCCAGCAGCAATGCTGACTGTCCTCTGTGCAGTTTGTGTTTTACACAGAACAATTGTTCTGTGGCAACAGCAAATGATTTAAAGAAATGTCTGTGACAGGAACCTGACAGAGTTTTCTTCCCTCCCTTGTCCCTAATTATAGTGTGGCTTTTCCATGGGGAGTCCAGGAGGCCTTGCATTATTCAGGGTGTTTTAAGGAACAAAAAAAGAGAGGAATTTGGCTACTGTTTCTTTGTTTGTAAATTATGCATCTATCAATGCTTCCATAAGAAACAAAGTTGTACTCAGAAAAACTGTAGAATCGTAAGCATTTAGGATTTGAATAGCTGTTCCTCAGTGTATGTAGCAACGAATTCGTTTCACTATTAACTTCAATAATAGTGGGTTTGAATCTTAGTGCAAATGCTTTCTAGCATGCGATTTCCCCAAAATCATATATTTCTGATTTTGAATGCATTCCTTCATGATGATCATAATGTTTTAATGCAAGTTTCCAACATTAGGCTTTTAATTTTGGTGAATCAAGCTTCTGTTTTTTCCTAGTCATTCATGAAAAGATTTTTGGCAATAGAGGGTGTGTCTACTTTTTCATAACACGAGGGCAGTTAAAGGGCTGCTGCTTCACTCTCTGAAACAGCATTTCACTATATTTCTTACAGACATTAGAGCTGGAAGTCTGATTTTTTTGCAGATTTAGCTCTGGAATTGTTTGGCTCAGGTGTCTAGTCAGACATGAGATGTAGTTAAAGCTCTTTTACCACTGATGAGACTTACAGAAAACTGTTTTCTCCTATGGAAATGCTATGGTGTCTTAGGCTTAAATTCACCTTGTCATAGCCATGCTTTTTCTTTGACTGGTCAGGCATTTTAGTGTCTTTCCAGCAAATTTGGTGGAACTTGGTCAACAAATTCAAGCACATAGTGACAAGAAATTTCTACTAGACGAATCCTGCTCAGGCACACATGCACACGTACTCCCCTTAGTCAAGCAATGCTTTATCCTTATTGGTTGCTTAAAAGATACACAACACAGGACAGGAAAAAAGGTGGAAAGATGAAAATTGTCCAGAGTTTGTTGCACTGATGACTGCAAACCTAAATGATCAGAACTGTGTTTTTTTTTCAATGCTGCAATTGCCTAAGCTCTATCTATCTTCTTACCCTTTCCAAAACTGAGAAGGTTTTAAGAAAAAAGCTTTGCAGAGAAAATTACCTGTCTTTCCAGGAAGGTTTGGTGAGCTGGCTACCAGAGAATATAGCCACTAGCTAGTGAGGGTCCATTTTGATTTTCTCACACAATTTAAAAGATGGCAGAAAGTTCTGCTGTAGGAAAAAGATGGTGTTAATTCAGGAGACCTTTATATTTTGCATGAAGAGAATTTTTAAATTCCTTCTGAGTAATAAATGTGGCACTTACTGCTGTGTGATAAAGGGGAATAATTAAAAAAGGAAGAAGAGAGTAATGAATAATGAGAGTAACCAGAGTTTGTCTTTCTTCACAGGCTATGGTGTCATGGCTGATGGAACTACTACCTATGTGAACGCATCTGTGTGCACTGTGAATTACCAGCCACTTAATCCACCTATAGTTATTGACTTACCTACTCCAAGGAACACATGATTATAATGAGGATTTAAAGTTGTACCCAACACATTAGCAACTTTATATTGCTGGCTGAGAATCCGAATAGGGATTCATTCAACAAAAAAAAAGCAAAACTCTTCCTTTTTCCCTGCTAGCTCTTAACAGATAAATTTTGAGTGACGAAAGTGGATGAGGAGCGAAGACATTTTGGTGCCAGAAACAGATTAAAGACTCTAAACATTTCACCATTAAAATATTTGTGAACACAGAAAAGTGAATGCATTCCACATATATAATATACATATACATATATATATATCTCAAGTAGGGACTTTTGTATATACCGTACATTATATTGGACGTATTAAAAGAACAATGTCTTTGAAAGTAATGTTTCTCTAAGAAAGTTTGCAGTTTAAACTTAAGTGTTTAGACTAGGATTTCCTCATTTCAGATGTTTCCCAGTGAGCTCTCGGTAAAAGAAGAATGATGGTAAAGATGTTTTCCCTTAATTAACAAGGCAAATATAAAAGATGGTGCACGACTGACCAGTCACAGGAGGAAAGCTGTTCAAGTCCTCCAGGTCTAAGTCTTTGCATCTATTCAAAACCAATGCAATAGAGGCCCTAATTCACTGTACTGAAATGAAGTTTTACTACATCTGGTGTTACAGATGGTAAGGGAAATAGTGCATATTGCCAGCATGCTGTAAACAGCTCAACATTCAAGAAGGGAGACTGTGTTAAGTGCAGTATAAACTCAGGAATTTGTAACCTGGCCTCATCTGTGAAAAAAAAGGATGACATTTCCCTTAAAAAAAAAACACCAAAAAAAAACACCAAAAACACAACAAAAGACAGAAAAGAAAAATATATAACTGTGTTTTCTTATGGTCAGGCGATAAGTGATTGTATGTTCATTAGTGGTATTTTAGATAAAATCCACTTGGGACTATTTAAAACCTGTTAATAGGACATGCAGCCAATAATGAGGTTACTGATTTGAATTTGGACCCAGTGAGAAAGTGATTAAATGTCATCATTTTGTCCTTGGAGAATGTTACAGATGTCAAGGGGAAGGGATCATCCCAAGGTGGAGATTGGGCATTCACTTTTGGGTACCTATGTAGTAGTGTAAGTACACACCAGTGGGTACAGAGACTCGTAAAATCTGTCATTGGTGTTCACTCAGTCATGGACACTGCTAAGAAAGGCCCAAGACAAAATTGTCAACTGAGTTGAAACCCATCTGTTGTTTTGCATGTGATGCCAGGTAAAGCAGGGCATGTGTCAGAAGCTCACTGGGGTGGCCAAGTGCCATGGTACTGCCCATGCGTCTTTCCTGCAGGTTAACAGAGGTGTTGAAGCTGCTGGGATTAAAACCTTTCTAGGCAGAAGGTTTGAGAATTGATTACAGACCTGCCAGAAAAAAATGTGTTTCAGATGCGCCCTACAAGAAATGGGTTTTTGTCTTGAACCAACAATGGTCAGTTCATCAATAACTGTGCGCAAAGAGGAGCTGTTTTAATTTAACTGTTGCATCCTGAATTTGGGGCTGATGGCATCTAGACATTAATCTTGTGCACATATATTGGGCAGACCATCATGCTACTAATACGGGCTTGTTTGCAGGTCTGTGCATAGTCCGCATATGCACACACGCATTGGATAATTGTGTATGTTACTTTTTGCTTGATCTATGGGTGTAAATGAGCTTCACGTAGCAGCTGCATGTACTTCATATGCATACACAATTTAAAATGCCTGTGTCACAAAACCAGGCTATGTCAGACTCAACTCTAAGCAAGGTGGGCAGAAACATTGTGTTTTGCTGGCTTCCCATGGACAGTAGCAGTTCCAGCTGCTGCTGGGAGCTGTGGCCTTCGAGCCCTGTAACTGACTCATGCTGTGGACCCACCAGAAGCCAACAGAAAACATGAGAAGTTGCAGGTCTGTCGTTCTTTGTAAGCTTTTGGGTGATTTGGGGTCTAAACTAACATGCTGCTTTTTCCTGAACAAACCCCAAACCAACCAGTGATGCCCACAACTGGTTGTTGAGTGAATAGTTCACAAGTGCATGAGTAGCCTGCCATGAATTCAGATGAGTCCTTTTGTCAAAACTATTGGTATAGAAACTGCAGGATCAGCTCCTAAATCAGCAAGCACTGAAATTCATAGTTGAATATGAACTCCAGCCATCACTGGGAAGATGAGCAATAGCGCGTAATTAGAATAAAAGTGTCTTAGCTAGTCACAATTCAAGCGATTTGCCACAAATGTGGCAGGGAATTGGCTGTATGTTAAAAGTCTGAAATGTTTACATTCGCTCACAGCACTTAAGAGATTAAAAAGTGTTAAAGTTGGGGAAGAGGTCCTTTTATTAGGCTCAACAAAATTTGTATGTTGACCGTAAACTATGCTCTTAAAAATAATTTTTCCCAAGGCATCTTCAAAATACTGTGTATTTTTATGCGGAAAGGATACAAAAGCAGCTGTTCCTTCAGAATATCATTTAAAGTACTTGAGGTATGAAAGCTTAAAGATTATTTAATCATTTTGGCATAACTTGATTGTTGTTGTACTTTTTGGTCAAGCATGTTGGACAAATAAAATCTTAAAAATACCCAAAACAAACAAGAAAGCCTCTTTATGTCCACGTCATGCATTCTGTGGGAAAGGCTGCCTGTCTGCTCCAGGAGTAGGAGCCAGGCTGCAGGACATGAAAGTTGTTATCAGGAGGGGTTGAGGGGCATCTGGCAGAGGGGCTCGGGTGATAGGCAGAAGGTGCCCTGCTCCACCTGCCAGCTTCTTCTGGCCACCACATCTGCAGAAAGCAGCAGATTGGAAGTCGGGGTTGCAGATAGGGGAAAGCCACAGCTGTGACCTGTAACCGATGTATTTTGGTGGGGGAATACACCAGATGTGTCTGTGAGGCTGGGCAAAGCTAATGTGAGAAAGTGCTGCAACGGGGCTGTGAAGCAGTAAGGAACTGGGGTGCCATGCTTCAGGAATGGGCAGCAGTCAGGGGAAGGATGGTTTGTGCTCTGAGTGTAAGGACATGAAACAGGGAGATCAAAGTGAGGTAACATTTTTAACTTTGTGGGCACAGTCAAGGCCTGGGCTTCTTGCCTTAAATCTGGTGTACCTCGGACCAGGGAGGCTGTGGAAAGGAAGGTTTCCACAAACACGGTTTTCAGTTGTCAGCTCTATTTAAATTCAGGGATGCTTTATCAAATCATTCTCTCATACCACCTCCCCATTGCTGACCTTCACTGATATTTATCCAGGCAGCATTGCTCCCAAAAGTGTGCTGGTGTGTATTGCTAGTAAGTGTATAGAATCATAGAATGGTTTGGTTTGGAAAGGATCTTAAGATTATCTAATTCCAGCCCACCTGCCATGGGCAGGGATACCTCTCACCTTCCACAATTCCAACACTCTGCAGTTTGGAAACTTAATTTCAGTTCGTTTTGACCATGAATAGGGGAGATAGCCCTGCATGTCAATGAAAAAAAAAACGTTATTTTCACCTCCCTTAGTCACATATGGCTGAGGATGTGAAATGTTCCTTGGCTACAAGCAATGAGCAAGCTGGGACTCAGTTGCCTTTTCCCAGGCAGCCCCACCCCACTACAACTGTACCCCAGCCTGTGGAACTGGGTTTAGGCTTCCACATGATGCTATGTGTTGGGCCCTACAGCCAGTCTCCAAAACTACAGCAGTCTTCAAGGAAGTTGCTGCAGGGAGCAAGGCCTGTGGGAGCAGCTCGCCTGCCTGGCCCTGAAGGGTGCTTCATAGACCAGGTAGCTGTGGGCAGGGAAGGGGAAAAGCTCTGTTCTCTGGGTGATCATGGGGACAGAGTGGGGGCAAAGTGCTCTGGCCTTGCTGCAGGAGGGAGTCTGTGGGGATAAGAAGTGGTTTGTCTTCTCCAGTCACTGACAGCTGCTAATAGAATCCTAGAATGGTTTGGGCTGGAAGGGACCTTAAAGACCATCTAGTTCTACCTCCCCTGCTATGGGCCGGGACACCTCACACTAGACCAGGTTGTTCAAAGCCCTGCCCAACCTGACCTTGAACACTGCCAGGGATGGGGCAGCCACGACTTCTCTGGGCAGCCTGTGTAAGGGCCTCACCACCCTCACAGGGAAGAATTTCTTCCTAATACCTAGTCTAAATCTACCCTCTGTCAGTTTAAAGCCATAATAGCCAATGTAAATGCTTCAGAGAAAGGAGAAACACAACATTCCGTAGAAGGCAATATTTGAAATAATCTGCCCGTGGGGATCTTTGCCCCACTCCCATTTATTCCTGTTTGTACAATTTCTCTCTTAAAACCCCATATTATTGCTCACTGCTGATATAACTCACACATCGTGAATATAACTCCAAATGTTCTTTTCTTTCAGGTACATTCCTGTCCCTTTTCTGCAAGTCTCTCTGCATCTGGGATTTTAACGATATTGTGGAACAGCGAGCTCCCCGGGTGATTATGCACAGCGCATTAGAACAACACTATTTAGCTTATCCTTGTACATGTGCTGCTGTTTGGGTTTATTGACTGTCCCTTTCTTCTCCTTTTATGTGAAAAGTGTAAATAGGAGTACTTATATGTACCTTCTTTGTGCCATTCATTATTTTGTAAACTGCCATTATGTTGCATTTTACTCACTTTGTTTAGAAATTAAAATCATTTCAATTCTAGCTAGATTCTATTTCTAACTCTCTTAACTTTCCCATCTCTGAAATGTTCCCCTCCTCTCTTTCTGATGTGTCCTTTGGGAATCAGTGAGAGGCAGTGATGCCAGAAGAGAACCTCCTCTTCCTTCCTATCCAAGCATTTCGACACAGTTCCCTGCTACTTTCTCTCCTGATCTTTATCCAACTCTGTTCTTCATTTGTTTAGGATTTCTGGGGGTAATACCATATATTTGCACTCCCCAGTGCAGAACTATGGTGAGCTATCTATGGCCCTAGTTGGGTTTTCTGAAGAGGTGACAGCTCCTCTGGACTGGACTTACCTGGTTTTCACAACCATCACGCCCTTCCTCTCAGGGAGCCTTTCCAGGGGCACCTCCTCTGCTGTGTGTGGTGAGCAGCCCTGGGGCTGGAGGTGCTGCTGGGTGGAGTATGGAGCCAAGTGGCATTTGCACAGTTCTCATCTTGCTTTTTGGGTTTTCCTTTCTTGGCTTGTGCCCAGCCCACAACCCCTTTTTGCCTCCCACAAATAGCTCTTTCATAAAGGTCTTTATCAAAACCTTTGCAAGTGTCCACACCAATTATATCAGAGATATCTCTTCTTGCCAGGACTTTGATGTCCCAAAAGCTTTCAAACAGATTAAAGGAGCAGGGTTTTTTTTTTTTGCACGAACCGGTTGTCTTTGTTCCTCA